GCGGGGCGGTGCGTGCGGGGGCGGGGGGCGGGGCGGGGGCAGGCGCGGAATGGGGAGGAAGGGAGTTAAAATAGTCCTTCACTCAAGAAATCCAGTTCCGCAGAATAGAGAGCCCAGAAATGGACCCTCAACTCTATGGTCAACTCATCTTTGACAAAGCAGGAAAGAATGTCCAATGGAACAAAGACAGTCTCTTCAACAAATGGTGTTGGGAAAATTGGATAGCCACATGCAGAAGAATGAAACTGGACCATTTCCTTACACCACACACAAAAATAGACTCCAAATGGTTGAAAGACCTCAATGTGAGACAGGAGTCCATCCAAATCCTAAAGGAGAACACAGGCAGCAACCTCTTTGACCTCAGCCAAAGCAACTTCTTCCTAGAAACATCGCCAAAGGCAAGGGAAGCAAAGGCAAAAATGAACTATTGGGACTTCATCAAGATAAAAAGCTTTTGCAAAGCAAAGGAAACAGTCCACAAAACCAAAAGACAACCGACAGAATGGGAGAAGATATTTGCAAATGACATATCAGATAAAGGGCTCGTATCCAAAATCTATAAAGAACTCATCCAACTCAACACCCAAAGAACAAAGAATCCAATCAAGAAATGGGCAGAAGACATGAACAGACATTTTTCCAAAGAAGACATCCAAATGGCCAACAGACACATGAAAAAGTGCTCAATATCGCTCAGCATCAGGGAAATCCAAATCAAAACCTCAATGAGGGCGCCTGGGTGGCTCAGTTGGTTAAGCGACCGCCTTCGGCTCGGGTCATGATCCTGGAGTCCCAGGATCGAGTCCCGCATCGGGCTCCCTGCTCAGCGGGGAGTCTGCTTCTCCCTCTGATCCTCCTGACCCTCCCCCCTCTCATGCTCTCTTTCTGTCTCTCTCTCTCTCTCAAATAAATAAATAAAATCTTAAAAAAAAAAAAAAAAACCTCAATGAGATACCACCTCACACCAGTCAGAATGGCTAAAAGTAACAAGTCAGGAAATGACAGATGTTGGCGGGGATGCGGAGAAAGGGGAACCCTCCTACACTGTTGGTGGGAATGCAAGCTGGTGCAGCCACTCTGGAAAACTGTATGGAGATTCCTCAAAAAGTTGAAACTAGAGCTGCCGTATGATCCAGCAATTGCACTACTGGGTATTTACCCCAAAGATACAAAAATAGGGATCCGAAGGGGTACGTGCACCCCGATGTTTATAGCAGCAATATCCACGATAGCCAAACTGTGGAAAGAGCCAAGATGTCCATCGACAGATGAATGGATAAAGAAGATGTGGTATATATATACATACAATGGAATATCATGCAACCATCAAAAGGAATGAGATCTTGCCATTGGCAACGACGTGGATGGAACTGGAGGGTATTATGTTGAGTGAAATAAGTCAAACAGAGAAAGACATGTATCCTATGATCTCACGGATAGGAGGAATTCTTAATCGCAGGAAACAAGCTGAGGGTTGCTGGAGTGGGGGGTGGGGTGGGAGGGATGGGGTGACTGGGTGATAGACACTGGGGAGGGTAGGTGCTCTGGCAAGCGCTGTGAATTGTGCAAGACTGTTGAATCTCAGATCTGTACCTCTGAAACAAATAATGCAATCTATGTTAAGAAAAAAAAAAAAAGAGGGCGCCTGGGTGGCTCAGTTGGTTAAGCGACTGCCTTCGGCTCAGGTCATGATCCCGGAGTCCCGGGATCGAGTCCCGCATCGGGCTCCCTGCTCGGCAGGAAGCCTGCTTCTCCCTCTCCCACTCCCCCTGCTTGTGTTCCCTCTCTCGCTGTGTCTCCCTCTGTCAAATAAATCAATAAAATCGTAAAAATATATATCTTTAAAGAAATCCAGTTCCGGGACATCCGTGCCGTCCAACACTAGTACGGGGTGGGCGGGGGAGGTGCTCTAGAAGAGTTAAATATTGATGATGATGATGATGATGATGGAGAAGAAGAAGAAGGAGGAGGAGGAGGAGGAGGAGGAGGAGGAGGAGAACTGTTCCATGCTATTAAGGGTAAAACAAAAACAAGGCGTAGAACTTCCTCTGGCTCGTAAAGGGGGAAAAAAAAAATGGTTTGGGTTTTGTTTTTTGTTTTTTCTTTCTTCCTGTTTCAACTAAGCGCATTTCAGGGCACCTGACTGGCTCCGGTCGGAGGAGGCCCACGCGACTGCGACTCTTGATCTGCAGGGGTCGTGAGTTCCAGCACCATGCTGGATGATCACTCAAAAAGCTTTCAAAAACAAACACGCAAACAACCGACACCGAGCAGCATTAACCATCAAAGATACACACCTGTGACGAATACGACGTCAGAGGAAACCACGAGCAGCAGTAGCAGAGGATAGGACACTAGAGGGCAACAGAGCCCCATCCATAGGTGCTAGGGGCACTTGAACGCTTTCTGTGTCCACTAGGGACCTCGAAAAAACTTCACTCCCCTATCCAGGGAGGAGAGGGGAGAAGCAACCTCCAGCAAGAATTCCTTTGATTATCTTAATCGCAGGAAACAAACTGAGTGTTGTTGGAGTGGGGGGTGGGGTGGGAGGGATGGGGTGACTGGGTGATGGACACTGGGGAGGGTGTGTGCTCTGGTAAGCGCTGTGAATTGTGCAAGACTGTTGAATCTCAGATCTGTACCTCTGAAACAAATAATAATGCAATCTATGTTAAGAAAAAAAAAAGAAGAAGAAGAAGAAGGAGGAGGAGGAGGAGGAGGAGGAGGAGGAGGAGGTAGCAGGAGGGGAAGAATGAAGCGGGGGGAAATCAGAGGGGTAGACGAACCATGAGAGACGATGGACTCTGAACAACAAACTGAGGGTTCTAGAGGGGAGGGGGGTGGGAGGATGGGTTAGCCTGGTGGTGGGTATTGAGGAGGGCCCATTCTGCATGGAGCAGTGGGTGTTGTGCACAAACAATGAATCATGGAACACTTCATCTAAAACTAATGATGTAATGTATGGGGATTAACATAAGAATAAAATAAAAGAAAAAAAAAAGAATTCCTTTGATTAAAGGTAACTCTTACTACATTGAACTTCACCATTTCGGGGCACCTGGGGGGTGGCTCAGTCGTTAAGCGTCCGCCTTCGGCTCAGGTGACGAGCCCAGGGCCCTGGGATCGAGCCCCACATCGGGCTCCCTGCTCCGCGGGAGGCCTGCTTCTCCCTCTCCCACTCCCCCTGCCTGTGTTCTCTCTCTCGCTGTCTCTCTCTGTCAAATAAATAAATAAAATCTTTAAAAAGTAAATAAATAAATAAATAAATAAATAAATAAATAAATAAATAAATAAATAAATAAAATAAACTTCACCATTTCAACATGGACCTTTAATGGTTTCCTTCCCAACCAAGCCTTTCTCCTTGCCTCCTCCTTACCCGCGTGAATCCCTGATCCCACTTCACAACATCCCCCCCCCCCCACACACACACCAGGCTGAAAACTGTTCTCTCTAAACCATAAATCCTGAGCATCAGGAAAGTACACGAGGAAACACAGACGAGAGAGAGAGAGAGAGAGAGAGAGAGAGAGAGAGAGAGACCAAGCAAATAATGTGGCTCTGAAGGCTGGACATCGATCGAGTTGAGAGAAAGGACCAGACATCACAAACTCGAAAAGAAGGTTTTCCTTTAAAGCTGATCTCTTCCTGAGTTGGCTAAACTACGTTCTTTACTGGTACGGCCTCCACTCAAGAGTGCGACGATCAAAAGAAGGTTTCGCAGTAAACACTTCACGGGTGCATCTATTAAAAAAAAAAAAGAAAAGAAAAGAAAAAAAAGGGCGCCTGGGTGGCTCAGTTGGTTAAGCGACTGCCTTCGGCTCAGGTCATGATCCCGGAGTCCCGGGATCGAGTCCCGCATCGGGCTCCCTGCTCGGCAGGGAGTCTGCTTCTCCCTCTGACCCTTCCCCCCTCTCATGTGCTCTCTGTCTCTCTCATTCTCTCTGTCTCAAATAAATAAATAAAATCTTTAAAAAAAAAAGTTCACGGGTGCAGGCTTCACATTGGTTTTTCAAGTACACGTATTTCAGGGCACCTGGCTGGCTCGGTCGGAGGAGGCCCACGCGACCGCGACTCTTGATCGGCGGGCGTCGTGAGTTCCAGCACCGCACTGGATGGGTGTACAGATTACATACACAAGCAGACAGGCAAAAGGAATTAGAATCGCTATGGTGATTTCGAAGAAAACAAAACAAAACTCAGGAAACAAAGTCGTCCTCTCCGGGCCCGTTTCATGCTTATGTATAGAGGCGATAGAGACCCTGTGATGTTGGCAGACAAAAGAGACAGGTCGGTGGATGGAACGCCACAGATACCCAAACAGATAGGCCCAAGCCCGACAGAAGTTTGACAAATGCGCAAAGGCCATTGGAAGGAGGAAAGACGGCCCACCTCCCCACGAAATCAGAGGGCAGGCATCAGACATCCACAGACCCAACACGCAGGCAAGCAGGCAGACAAAGAAACAAGAAAGCTGGGGCGCCTGGCTGGCTCAATCCGTGAACCGTCCGCCTGCCTTCGGCTCAGGCCCTGAGCTCAGGGTCCGGGGATCCAGCCCCACATCGGGCTCCCTGCTCGGCGGAGACTCTGCTTCTCTCTCTCTCAATCTCTCTCTCTCTCTCTCTCTCTCCCTCCCTCCCCCCTCCCTCCCCCCACCCCTCCTCTCAAATAAATAAAAGTCTTTTAAAAAGAATAATTTAAAAAAAAAAAAAAAGGAAGAAAAGAACGTCACTCACTCCCCTTCCGGCATAGGGAGGACATCTTCGGGGGGGGGCGGGGGATGGGGGGGATGCCTCTCGGGAGAAAAGGGGGAGATTCAGCGAGTCAGCGCACCCTCCTTGCACCTGTGTGTGGGGGGGGGGGGGTGGTGGTTTGTGTGTTTCCTTGCCGCTGCTCGTTTTTTACAAGTGTATATAGAGTTCAAAACAGTATGCTGGTTTCCTTTATATCTAAGTCTTATCTCGGGTTTGGGTTCTGATGGGAGGAGGGAGGGCCACCTTTTCTTCCGACATGGTGGAGAAGGAGAAGAGGGATGCAGGCCTGTGCATATTCTTTTCCGTCGTGGGGTGAGCAGAGGACTCGGATTCAGCTCTTGCTGGATGGGATCTAATTTCTCTGTAAACAATCAGGCAAGATATCAGGCGAACAGAGGGCGAGCAAAGGTTAGCAGAACATGGACAAGATTGGCTATGGGTGCTGGAGTTTCCAAAGCAAGGATTTCATCAGAGGCACGTGAATGTCAAAGATTTCCAGGGACCATGTTCATGGATGACTTGGGGTATAGGTCATTTCAAAGTTACGGTGCTACCACCCGGTCACTTGAGCATACTGTCTCCAGCTCACGGCTGCAGATGCGATATGGGGCTCCTCCAGGGATGGAATTGTGCCAGAGAAAGGGAGACAGCAGCCTGTAATTGAGCCTAAGGTGTGTCTGAGAGAGTGACTCTCTAAAGTGCCTTGAGGCAGAAGGAGACCAGCTAGATTTGTCTTTGCTAGGTATTTGTGGCAATGGGGTCGGTGTGGCTGGTGGGTGTTGTCTGTTTATTTTCTAGATTCAGAGAAAGAACTCTTCAAGTGGAAGTATTTGCACAAGGGGTCTGGCAGGATGGGAGGGTGCAGGGGTCGGTCCATTTAACAAGATAACAGGAGGATCAGGCCTTTTAAGAACTAGGCAAAGAGAGGAGTTTAGCTTTGGTCATCACAGCACCTGGCACCTCAGCAGAAACAACAGAAGGTTCCCAGGATGAATTGAGTTGCAGGAGTCAGCGTGAGCAGACCCCACCACCCTCAGCCCTTATCCCTCAGCGCCCCCCCCCCCCGCCCCCCAGGCACACACACCCGGGCAGGCAGCGGCTATAGTCCACTCCGAGCTCCAGATCTGGGTCCCGCCCCCCCACCCCCACCCCCACCCCCACCCCCACAGGGCTCCCCTGTCCTCTTCTCAGCCAGAGATGTATATGGGAGGGTGGTCCCAGAACAAATCTCCCCTCATCCACGGAAACCTTGCCAACACTTCGACCACTTTGCCTGAGCTACCAACTCATCTGTACCCGTGCGTGATTTTTTCCCTATGGACCAGGGGCCTAGTTACCAACTTAGGATGGACAGCCCCCCCCCCCCCCCAGCCTACTGTTCCAATTCGACCAGAGGACTTCAGTTGGGGGGGGATGGGGGGGCTGGGGCTGGGGCTGGGGCGGCTGATGGGACGTTCAGGGTGATCCATTCTAATGGGCCTCATTCAATCGCTTCATTCAAATGCAGAAAGCTTTCTGTTAAAGTCAGAGCCTGGAGCTTCCCTCCATTCAATGGCTTTCCTCAACTCCCCCTAACCCTTAGGCTGCAGCTTGCAAACTTCGGAGAGAGATGAGGGAGGGAGGGAGGGAGGGACGGAAGGGAGGGAGGGAGGGAGGGAGGGAGGGAGGGAGGGAGGGAGGGAAGGGAGGGAGGGAGGAGGGGAAGGGGAAAGAGGGTGTCTGAAGAGCTCACCTCATCTGGGGGCAAAAAGAGTCCCCTCCTTTTCCTAACCCACGAAACTCCAGTAAACCCTTTGGGAATCATGAATGTGGGGGATGATGTCTTACTATACTGCCTTCCAGGGATGGGTGTGCAGGTAGGAGGGTGTGGCATGGTGTGGCTGGCTGAGTCTGAGGAGGACCTTGAACACATGATGGTGGTATCTTAGCGGTCAGAGGCCAAACACAAGCATGGAGTGATAAGGGCTAAGGGCTAAGGGCTAAGGGAGGCCTGACAGGGACCGTTCTAACTCATCCACCGAGTTATGGGCCCAGCAAGCACACTCCTCTAAATCAACATTAACAGTTTATTGATTGTTGGGGCACCTGGGTGGCTCAGTCATTAAGCATGTGCCTTCGGCTCAGGTCATGATCCCAGGGTCCTGGGATCGAGCTCCGCATCGGGCTCCCTGCTCCGCGGGAAGCCCGCTTCTCCCTCTCCCACTCCCCCTGCTTGTGTTCCCTCTCTCGCTGTGTCTCTCTCTGTCAAATAAATAAATAAATACAATCTTAAAAAAAAAAAAAAAAAACAGTTTATTGATTATCCATCGACCTGTCCTCCCTCTCCCACCTGCTTCCCAAGGGAAATCCTCGGTCTCATTCCACGTAGTCACTGGCTGTTTTCGCACACCACCTTCCTGTCCAGTAAGAGGAGGAAGGAAGATGGACAAACAGGAACCAGCCCCACAGATGGCACCTCTGCACAGAGGGGTGAGTGTGAGTCTCATTGGGCCAACTGTGACTCTGAGCCATGATCCCAGGGTTGTTTAAAATATGGAACAGAAGGAGCACCTGGGTGGCTCAGTCAGAACAGCACATGACTCTTGATCTCAGTCAGGGTCCTGAGTTCAAGCCCTACACTGGGACTACAGATGATGAAAAATGAATGAATGAATGAATGAATGAATGAATGAATGAATGAATGAATTTTTAAAAATAAAGTATGTAATGTTTATCTCTTTAAAAAAAAAAAATGGAATGGAGGGGCGCCTGGGTGGCTGCCGGTTGAGCATCTGCCTTCAGCTCAGGTCATAATCTCAGGGTGCTGGGATCGAGCCCCACCCCTCTGGGGCTCCCTGCTCAATGGGGAGTCTTCTCCCTCTCCCTCTGCCCCTCCACCCACCCATGCGTGCAAGCTCTCTGTCTCTCTGTCTCTCTGTCTCTCTGTCTCTCTGTCTCTCTCTCTCTCTGTGTGTTTCTCTCTCTGTCTCTGTCTCTCTCTGTGTGTCTCTCTCTCTGAAATAAATAAATAAAAACAAACAATCAAACTTCAAAAAGGAAAAGGGCAGGGACATTTATGATTATTCATGGCGAAAGTTGGAGCACGTATATTCAGGAAACATATGTACCATAGATTCCCATGTTTACTTCGGGGTGGAGACCTGACATCTGAATGAGGCAAAACTGAGTCCCTGATGTCAGGAGGTTATCTGAGGACAAGGAGAAGAGGCTGTGGGCATGCTCTGAGAGCTGGTACAACCTGGATGGGGTCTTAGGCTCCTTTTCTCAGGTAAGGAATCAGGACCTCGCTTCTTCATAGGCTGCAGCCATTATCAGTTGACCTTGAGTCCAGACTTCTGCAGAGACAGCCAGTATTTGGTAGCAGGGCCTGAAAAGACACAATAGCTGACTAGGGGGAAACAGTTCCCTGAAAAACCAGCTTTAAGCTTTCTGCTAGCATCAACCTCATTAACCTTATGGGGCACGGTTTCAATCCCCACCCCCACCCCCACCCCCACCCCCACCAAGTGAGGATCATTCCTCAGTCTTAGGGAATTGGGATGATGATGGCTGTGGCTATTCTTTCATCTCCTCAGGGGAGGTAGGTTTTGGGTAAACGACAGTTTCTGTAAATCTTAGCTGTAACATGGCTATGTTCAGGGCTAAACAGAAGTTTTTAACCTACAGGTTAAAAGGGAATAAAAATAACAGGGAGTCAGACATGCTACATTTTTCCCTGTTAAAATTTCCCCTTGTCCATCCTGCATTCCATTTCTATGACACATGGGCAGAGGTCTGCCTTCTTTATTTAACTGCTTCAAGCTGAATTAGGGTGCAGTAGAGGCTTTGGAATGGAAGGATCTGAGACACTGCAGGTCGCAATTTTTGGTCCCTTGTGCTAATGGAGGGGGTCTCAGAGATAGTTCCTTATCTGAGAACTTGGTTATTTTTCTACATGGTTTGGGACTACATGACACCATTGATTTTATCCCCAAGTGTAGTCTAAGGAATAGTAACAGTAGAGTCAAACCCAATTCTCTCATTCTCTCTCAAATTGATCTGATATCGGTGGGTATCCAAGAATACAGATCAGTAAATTAGTCTGAGCCCCTCCCCTGGGGGGGGGGCGGTAGGTTGTGGTGGTGAAGGGCTTCTGGTAGCCAAGTAGCTTAGTGTTTGATTTTATTTACATGGGTTCTTTTTTATTTTTTTTTTTCTTTAAAGATTTCTATTAAGTAATCTCTACACTCAATGTGGGGCTCGAACTCACAACCCCGAGATCTAGAGTCGTATGTTCTACCAGCTGAGCCAGCCAGGTGCCCCTATTTATATGGGTTCTTATTTTCCAAAGAGGAGTTAATACAGGTGCAGCAAGGTGGAATTAAGGATCACATAGACTCTGCCTCATTCAGCAAGTGATCTTGTAGTTAATAAGAGGCATTTCTATGGAAACAAAAGGAAAACATGGTTAATGGTTGGAACAAGGGATACACCTGGTGTCTAAGTCCAGAGGGCTGCCAGTGAGAAGGTCTCTAGATGTCAGGCTTGAAGCATCCTCCAATAGAGTGGGAGTGGGCAGGGGCAATCTGACTAATTTTTCTGGCGTATAGTTCAAATGTCTCATTTTGAGTGACTCATAGAGCAACAGGCACAAAGATTGTCTATATATGAGTTATTGTGGTCATTTCCCTGAAATTTATTTCAAGTTGTCCAGCTTTCATTTGCCAGACTTCAGGAAAAAGGACAGTTTTAGTTCTTAATGATTGTAAGATAAGAGAATGGGAGAATGTTCTGAAACAAATAATGCAATATATGTTAAGGGGAAAAAAAGAAGAAGAAGAAGAAGGAGGAGGAGGAGGAGGAGGAGGAGGAGAAAAGGAGGAGGAGAAAAGAAGAAGGAGAAGAAAAGAAGAAGACGAAAAGAAGAAGAAAAGAAGAAGGAGAAGAAAAGAAGAAGAAGAAAAGAAGAAGAAGAAGAAGAAGAAGAAGAAGGAGAGAAGAAGAAGAAGAAGAAAAGAAGAAGAAGAAGAAGAAGAAGAAGGAGAGAAGAAGAAGAAGAAGGAGAGAAGAAGAAGAAGAAGAAGAAGAAGAAGAAGAAGAAGAAGAAGGAGAGAAGAAGAAGAAGAAGAAGAAGAAGAAGAAGAAGAAGAAGAAGAAGAAGAAGAAGGAGAAGGAGAGAAGGAGAAGAAGAAGAAGAAGAAGAAGAAGAAGAAGAAGAAGAAGAAGAAGAAGGAGAAGAAGAAGAAGAAGGAGAAAAGAAGAAGAAGAAGAAGAAGAGGAGGAGGAGGAGGAAGAAGGAGGAGGAGGAGGAGGAGGTAGCGGGAGGGGACGAATGAAGCGGGGGGAAATCGGAGGGGCGGACGAACCATGAGAGACGATGGACTCTGAACAACAAACTGAGGGTTCTAGAGGGGAGGGGGGTGGGAGGATGGGTTAGCCTGGTGGTGGGTATTGAGGAGGGCCCATTCTGCATGGAGCACTGGGTGTTATGCACAAACAATGAATCATGGAATACTTCATCTAAAACTAATGATGTAATGTATGGGGATTAACCTAAGAATAAAAAAATAAATTAATTAAAAAAAAGAGAGAGAATGGGAGAATGTTGGAAACCTTAGTTTGAAGAGTCACAGTCAGATACTCAAGGAAACCAGAAGGATCCAGGATCCAGTCCAGTTTTATAGGCAAACAATAAACGTTCAAAGATAATTAATCTAACACTCACAAAAGTGTGTTATTGAAATGTAATCTTTCTCTCTAAAGTCACCTTCATTCCTGTCAAAGATAGCCAAAAGAAGATTAATTTGTTTGTAAAACAAGTCCAGTTTTAACAAACTTGGCCCAATCATCTACGTAGGGACAGCAAGAATAGCAATTGACCATATATGGGGTCTTTCTTCTCTTTTCTTTTTCCTTTCCTTCTTTTAAATCTGCTTTGATGGAGCTTTTTACAAGGAATTTTAGATTGATCCTTTAACTGCCTTTTTAAAGCCGAGAACCAAGCCAAATATTGGCCATCAGATTCGCCTGCAAGACTTGTAGATTTGCGGAGGGGTAGACGAACCAGGAGAGACGATGGACTCTGAACAACAAACTGAGGGTTCTAGAGGGGAGGGGGGTGGGAGGATGGGTTAGCCTGGTGGTGGGTATTGAGGAGGGCGCATTCTGCATGGAGCACTGGGTGTTGTGCACAAACAATGAATCATGGAACACTACATCTAAAACTAATGATGTGATGTACGGGGATTAACATAAGAATAAAAAAAATTACAAAAAAAAAAAAGACTTGTAGATTTGGGTGAATTCCTCTCTTCTTTGAGGGCCTCCAAATTTCCTGAAGTTCCTGCATCTGCCAGGAGGTGGTACTCTTCACTCACCTGGTAAGGTTGAGGGGACCTCTCTAAGCAAGGTTATCAGGCCAACATTTCTAAGGGGCTTTACTGGCTCCATAAAGTCAATCTGACTTTCTTAAAGCAGTCTCACCATATCTGAGTCTACGCATGTGTCTCTTCGAGATGACAGTCCAGGGGCACCTGGCTGGCTCAGTCGGTAGAGAGCACGACTCTTGATCTCAGGGTTGTGAGTTCGAGCCCCACGTTCAGTGTAGAGATTATTTAAAAAATAAAATCTCGGAGGAGCGCCTGGGTGGCTCAGTCGTCAAGCGTCTGTCGGCCTTCGGCTCAGGTCATGATCCCAGGGTCTTGGGATCGAGCCCCACATCGGGCTCTCTGCTTGGCCGGGAGCCTGCTTCTCCCTCTCCCGCTCCCCCTGCTTGTGTTCCCTCTCTCGCTGTGTCTCTCTCTGTCAAATAAATAAATACAATCTTAAGAAAGAAAAAAAGAGTACACTAACAATCCAAGAAAACCTTGTCATTTTAACATAGAAAACCCAAATCTCAATCTTATACCAGTGTGCTTTTCTTCTTCTTTTTTTTATTCTTATGTTAATCCCCTACATTACATCATTAGTTTTAGATGTGGTGTTCCATGATTCATTGTTTGTGCACAACACCCAGTGCTCCATGCAGAATGGGCCCTCCTCAATACCCACCACCAGGCTAACCCATCCTCCCACCCCCCTCCCCTCTAGAACCCTCAGTTTGTTGTTCAGAGTCCATCGTCTCTCATGGTTCGTCCGCCCCTCCGATTTCCCCCGCTTCATTCGTCCCCTCCCGCTACCTTCTTCTATTTTTTTTTTCTTCTTCACATAGATTGCGTTATTTGTTTCAGAGGTACAGATCTGAGATTCAACAGTCTTGCACAATTCACAGCGCTTGCCAGAGCACCTACCCTCCCCAGTGTCTATCAGCCAGTCACCCCATCCCTCCCACCCCACCCCCCACTCCAGCAACCCTCAGCTTGTTTCCTGCGATTAAGAATTCCTCCTATCCGTGAGATCATAGGATACATGTCTTTCTCTGTTTGACTTATTTCGCTCAACATAATACCCTCCAGTTCCACCAGTGTGCTTTTCAAACTGCCTTCTCCCAAGCTCAGTCAGTCCTGACCATGCATAAAATTCCTTTTCAAAAATTCTCCTTCACAAACCCCTTCCACAATTTCCTTTTTCATTCAGACTCGGTCTTAAAGTTTTCTTTCTTTAAGTACCCAGTCCCGTTTCAGTACACCATTACTTCCTTTTCCCTCAACAAAAAAAATGTTTTCTCATTTCTTGTACCTCTTTTACACGTCTCCTACCTTCCCACACACGGAGTTGTTTTTGTTATCATTTTGTAGCAGTCCCAATTCCATGTGGCAGAATTTTAATTCTTAGAAATCTCAGTCTCTGGTGAAACGTTAGTAGTAACCAATGGCGCACTCTCTATTACACCAGAATTCTTTAGATTGGCAAATGTATGAATATATTTCATAAATTTTATTTATTTGACAGAGAGAGACACAGCGAGAGAGGGAACACAAGCAGGGGAAGGGACAGAGGGAAAAGAAGGTTCCCCAATGAACAGGGAGCCCAATGCGGGGCTCGATCCCAGGACCCTGGGATCATGACCTGAGCCGAAGGCAGACGCTGAACGACTGAGCCACCCAGGCACCCAAACGTGGTTGGTTGGTTGGTTGGTTTTTATAAAGGTGATGGAGAGGTATATTTTGATAACCACAAATACAGGCTCACTGTTGTGACGGGAGCGTGGCACATTCCACTGCCCACCCAACGGCTTGTAACGCAGGGAGAACCGAATCCAAGTGCTTTTATGACAAAGAAAAGAAAGAAAAGGAAAGAAAGAAAGAAAGAAAGAAAGAAAGAAAGAAAGAAAGAAAGAAAGAAAGAAAGAAAAAGGAGAAAGAAAGAAAGAAAGAAAGAAAGAAAGAAAGAAAGAAAGAAAGAAAGAAAGAAACGCAAAGTTGATTATTTGTATTATGTGTGACATTGATAGCTCCAAAACCACGTCTTTTTAAAATAAACCAACAACCTTGAATTGGCTTTAACGCCAAAGAAGTTGCACCTGCGTCCACTAAAAAGTCAATCGATTGTTTTCCCCCATCAGACTCCTTGGGGAAAGTCTGAAGCGGGCGGTCTAAGATCAGCGGAGCCCTCGGGCCCCTTCCTGCTAGTTTGGGAGGTGCTCCAATTTAAACCTCATAAGGAGGTGGCCCAAGGGCTTGGGCCCAAGGGCAAGGGCTTTTGCTCCTTGATAAGGGGGTGGGGAGGAGGAGGAGGAGGAGGAGGAGAAAGGGGAGCCCATGGCACCCGGGGGGGGGGGGGCGGGGGGGCGGGGGTAGGGAAGGGCGGCTGAGACGGCGGCAGGGGAGTAGAGCACTCCAGGCACACACACCAGTGGTGCAGAAACGGGGCAGGGGAGGCGGCAAGGGAGCCATTGGTAAGGCCCAGGGCACATATACATTTACAGTTTTGGACGAACCTTTTCTTTTTTTTCTTCTCCGCCTCCGCCTCCGCCTCCGCCTCCGCCTCCGCCTCCGCCTCCGCCTCCGCCTCCGCCTCCGCCTCCGCCTCCGCCTCCGCCTCCGCCTCCGCCTCCGCCTCCGCCTCCGCCCTTTCTTCATCTCCTTCTGCTTAATAGGCTTTGTCTGTGGTGGCTTTTCAGCCCTCCGGAAGCCAGTGGGTTGGGCATCGGTTCTGGTGCCTGTACTTGGGGAGGAGGAGGAGTGGATTTCAGATTTCTAGCATCGGCCTGTCTTCCTCCTCTTCTTCATTATTTTGACTGTTGGGAAGTGGGGGTAAGGTCAGGTGTGTTAAATTTTTGTCTATCTCTGGGCCGTCCCTTGGGTCCCTTACCTTGAGGCATCTTTATTGTGGAGTGACATAAGAGTCTGAATGTAGGGAATTTCATCCCAGATCATGTGAGCTTGAAAAACTGGGTTTATTCTTATCTGAGTTTTACCATGCCCGATTTTTACGAGCACCTGCCTCTAAACTCTTTAAGTAGGGGCACCTGTGTGGCTCAGGCAGTTAAGTGTCTGCCTTGCGTTCACATCATGATCCTGGGGTCCTGGGATGGAGCCCCACATCCGGCTCCCTGCTCCGCGGGGAGTCTGCTTCTCCCTCTCCCAATGCCCCCCCACCCCCAGCTCGTGTGCTCTCTCACTCGCTTTCTTTCAAAGACATAAATAGAATCTTTAATAAAAATAAAACTCGGGGCACCTGGATGGCTCAGTGGTTAAGCGTCTGCCTTTAGCTCAGGTCATGATCCGAGGGTCCTGGGATCAAGCCCCTGCATCGGGCTCCCTGCTCGGCGGGAAGCCTGCTTCTCCCTCTCCCACTCCGCCTGCTTGTGTTCCCTCTCTCGCTGTGTCTCTCTCTGTCAAATAAATAAATAAAATCTTTAAAGAATAAAATAAATAAAATAAAATAAAATAAAATAAAAATAGAACTCATTAAATAGAGCTCCTTTACAAATGGATGTTAGCAATAGCACCCGGAGGTGGAGGAAATACCTCACATGTATAACACATACGGACACATAGACACAAACAAGATGCAAACAAATTTTAGCCTTTGTTTCAGTCTTATTTGTGGAGAGGACATGAATGGAGAGGACACGAAAGACCCAATGTTCAAATCTCCCTCTTTTAGTAAAACAAATGCAACTGCGAAGCAGCATTACCGTGTACAGATCCCACCCGTCAGTTGTTTTCCATTCCCAATGGAAACAGGGTCGGTTTTATGCAAAGATAGCAAAAGCTGCAGCAACCAACCAACCAACCAACCAACCAACCAACCAACCAAATGAAGACCAGAGCATCTCCCTGAGTGTTGGTTCCTCCCCAAAAGTCGGGGCTTCACTGAGGGAACCAAAGAGCTTCCTAGTTTCTGATCACCCAGTCTCCTAGCAGGCTTTCTCTAATTGTGTACACAATTCAGACATGTCAAAAGAACCCCGCTTGGGCCATCTGAGACTCATGTTATCGTGAAATGTTTCCCATGCAAGTAAGCACTTGCAAGTATAGGCTCCCTATGCATTGTACATGTAGCGTGCAGGTGTTTCTTGTGAGGGTGGGCCGTTGTTTCCTCAACATTTGGTGCAGGGTTCTACAGAGTTTTGGTTTGTTTCGTTGGTTTGGTTTTCTGCACACGTGTGTGTGGGGGGGGGGTGTGGTGTGGTGTGTTGTGTGGTGTGTATCTGTGTGCACGGTATCTATCGCTGCTGCGCAGCTAGCTGATCCTCAGGGTGCATCATCCTAACACCGCAATGGCTCGAAACAGCATTTCTTTATCGATAACTTCCTGGTGCTTGCCCTGGGTGGCCCCTTGGGTTCTGCGGGTTTACGCCGGGCTCACTCAAGCAGTGGCTTTCGGCCAGAGGGTCAACTTTCACACGTCTGGCAGTCGGTGCCGCCGAGCACCGGGCTGCCTCTGTTGTCAATGCCTCTCATGCTCCAGTCAGCTAGACTGGCTTTCTTACGTGGAGGTCTCAGGACGGCATGCCAAGAAGGTCGAGAACGCCGGCAGACCACCTCTTCAGGTGTAGGCTGTGAAACCAGCCAAGTGTCACTTCTGCTCTATTCTTTGGGTCAAGACAAGTCCCAAGACCCGGTCCAAAATCAAGGGACAGAGCAATCAAGCCTACCTCTGGATAGCAGGAGCATCGAAGTCATAGGACGTGAGGGTGCACACGTGCCGGGACGTGAGGGACACACGGTTGTCGGTCTGCCACAAGGGATTCCTAAACCCTATGCCGCGATGCACATTTTTGCAAAAGTAAGCTTTACGTTTTAGCATCTAAAACATGATTTCCTTTGAATCAACCCCTAGAATTGGATTCACCAGGAAGAAGGGGAAGATGCGTTTTCCAGCCTCTTGATACAGAAGCTCTTGATTTCCAGAGGGCACTTGGAGGACCCTTCACCAGTCTCTGCTTTGTAAGGCGGGGGGAATTTTTTTTTTTTAAGATTTTATTTATTTATTTATTTGTTTGTTTGTTTGTTTGTTTATTTATTTGAGACAGAGAGAGAGAGAGAGAGAGAGAGAGAGAGAGAATGAATGAGAGAGAGCACATGAGAGGGGGGAGGGTCAGAGGGAGAAGCAGACTCCCTGCTGAGCAGGGAGCCCGATGCGGGACTCGATCCAGGGACTCCAGGATCATGACCGGAGCCGAAGGCAGCCGCTTAACCAACTGAGCCACCCAGGCGCCCAAGGCGGGGGAAATTTAATTGGCCAACCCCCCATGAAAAAGCGACCGATCACGTTCCGACGTCCGAATTAAAGGCAGGCTTCCTTTTTAAAGGCATCCATAGAGCAGCCAGCTCCGTGGCAAGGAGCCGGACTTCTGTGTGTCTGATGAGGAATCCCATTCTCGGCATAAAGGCAATCTCGGGGAGCAGTCGGAGGCAGACCAGATCTCAGATCCACCAAACCCAAGAAATCCCTTGTGATCTGAATGGCTGAATTTGTTGAGGTTTCCCTCCCGATGGCTAAGAAGATGCCTTCCTATCACAGATGACAAAACACAAACCAACAAAACCCCGATAGCTGGGCAGGGTCTTCAAGAAAGGGCCCCTTTTTCATGGAAGCCAACTCTTCCATCTCGCGCCACCCGCCATCATGGAGAGGAAGTCTCTCGGGATGAACGAATGCCTTTGCAATCTACGTTAACCGACTCTCTTTTCCGATAGGCTGACACTCTTTCCCCTCGTGGACACGTCCCGAGATCGGCAGGCTTCGGTGCATCGGTCTTCTGTGCACCAAAAGCCGTGCGAAGGCCCCTGTCGTCGAAATGTATTCGGCATGGACGCTAGTGAAGAATTTTAAACCAGTCTAGCCCGGTTCAGTCCTTCAGTCCTTTTTTTTCTCATTTCTTACATGACCGCTGTGTCCTAAAAGGATACAACTGAGGAAACTCCAGATGGAACAGAGGCAAAGGGAAGGGGGGCAGAGCTTCCGTGTTCCGTGACCCCTCTCCAGGAACGCCTCTGTCCCCACCATTTCAGGCGTTCAAGCAACCTGGAAGCTCCCCGAATTAGGTTAGTTCTTCTTCGAAGGGGCGGGGGTCGGGGTGGGGAAGGTTGGGGAGCGCCGAGGTTTGGAAACATTGCAGGGCAATCAAGGCTATTGCCAAATCTCGAGTCCGTGCAGAGGTACGTAAGGTACACGTAAGGCCGGGATGGGGGGCGTGGCGTGGCGTGGCGTGGCGGGGCGGGGCTTGGCGGGGCGGGGGTGGGTGGGTGCGCGCGCCTGGCGGGGAGGGTTGCGGTGTGTGTCCATGTGCGTTCAGCAGGTGTAGGGGAGGAAGAATGTTCCCTCTAACTTCCCTTTCTACTCCCTGTTGGGGGAGAACAGTGAAGAGAGCC